TACTTCACTGGGGCACTTCTGGTGACAATATTTCAACCATATGATCCTAAGCTCAATCATGACATAGGCCATATCATATATATAATTTTGTATATGTTATTACTTTTCCATTAGACATGATACCACTATCACTAGAAATTAAAGTGGATCAAAAAGTTGAAAATGCCTTTTGCTGGAAATATTTATATGAACATTACAAAATCCAGGTTAGGAAGATATTTATGGGGTCTTTTATTACATAAATTACGAAATAATAACTAATCACATGAGTTATTGTACAACACCAACCGATCTTTTCTAATTCATGTCAGATCACTGTTTATGAGATAACCAGGAGAAATCAATTACAGTCATCAAGTTTACCATGACATGGAATGATGGAAGAATGAGCTATAGTCACCTACTTACCTTTGTGTTAACATCTCAATTATTGGACTTCACTAATTTCCTCCGTCAAATCAACAAGATGCATGGTTAATGTTTGCCCAAATATTAAGCTTACTTCCCAAGGACTGAGACAAAATTTGTGTGCAGACAGCCTTGATGGGTGGAAAGATTTTGTGGGATTTCTCTCCAAAAACATATATTTGACACAATGACATGAAAAGAAATTCCTCAAACACAGTGAATATATAACTTAATATATATCAACCACTCCATTGTACTTGAATTAGCACAGGGATATAAATGGCATGGACGTAAAGGACAGAGAACGGTAAGATTTCCCTCATCAGTACTATAAATTAGTACCAACCAGCTTAATTGCATTTTGTCACAACTCATTAACATATACATGCTTTATTACGAATATGAATTGATTTTCAATTTAATAGAGTTAAACTAAGAAAATTCCCCTGAAGGTCTGATAAAATAACAAAATCCCTCTAATATTTATAATATAACAGAAATTTATAACATACTAACAAGAGAGATTTTTATTATTACCGAAAATTTAAATAGATCTTTATATATTTATTTATTTTGGTGATGAGAGGATGTTCGAACCAATTTATGCGTACCTCAACTAATTTTTTGGGGTTCTGAAGTTGACGATCGGATAAATTCTCTCAGTGACCGTTTTTATTAGCATTTAACAATCCGGGTGGGTCAAAGTCAAAACATATCGAGTAATACACTCAAGAGTCTTGGTTGTCCGCTGGGCCACCCAATGGTGGTTTAGAGAGATTTTTATCATTATATTAAACTTCAGGGGGAGTCCATGTCTTTTGACTCTTGAATTAATGATAAAAGTTTGAATAATACTACACCAACAACTATTTCTCACAAACTTTCTCTCACAATCCTGATGTGGTAGCTCGCAATTGATAAGTTCACAACGTGTCTCACATGAGTCTGGCATGGGTCCTACTAATTAATTGCAAGCTGACCAATTGCGAGCTGCCACGTCAGGGTTATCAGAGAAAGTTTGTGAGAAATGGTTGTTGGTGTAGTATCTCTAAAAGTTATGGAGGATAAAGTCTTCCTAAAATCATTTGATTAACGTTTTATCTCAAGGTCAGTTACAGAAAGCCCAAGCCCAACGATAATAAGGTAAGCAATTCAATTTTGGTGGGAAATCCTAGTCCGCTGTCGTAATCATAATTGAGAAAAATTTTCTCTCACAACCCTGATGTGGCAGCTCGTAATTGATTAGTTCACAACGGGTTTCACGTGGGTCCCGTATGAGTCTCACCAATTAATTGCAAGCTGACTAATTGCAAATAACCACGTCAAGGTTGTGAGAGAAAATTTATGAGAAATGGTTGTTGGTGTAATATTACTCTAAGGGGGCGTTTGGTTCAGGGAATGTTGGATTACTGGAAAGTTAGATAACCTTAAAGATTACTAGGAATCTTTAGGAAAATGTGTTTGGTTAATTGGTGGGTATGTTATATGAATATGTTTGGTTGAGAGGAAAAAATTGGTGGGTATGTTATTTAAATTACTGAATTGTCCTCTAATTAAATATTATTATTATATTATTTTTTAATATTGATTATTATTTGTATTATATAACCCCCCTGCATTAAAAAACTTAACAAAAACAACCCCATAATAAAAGTTTGGAAAATCAAGAAAGCACCCCCACCAACCCAGCCACTACCAGCCGTCGGCAACCACCGTAAGCCCTTGGCAGCCGGCAACCTAATAGCGTACGAAAGGCAGGAAATGGCTTCCGTGCGTCGTATAGCCATTTCCGGCCAGAGATCTGGCCGGAAATGGCCAAACATGACAAATCTGGCCGTTGATGGCCACATACGTGGCTGTTAACAGCCAGATCTGTTGATCTGGCCTTTGACGGCCAGATCTGGCACGATTTGGCCATTTCAGGCTAGAGATCTTGTCGGAAATGGCTAGGCATGACAGATCTAGCCTTTGACGACTAGATATCTGGCCGGAAATGGCCATATCGGCGCACGATGACCATTTCGGCCTTCCGTGCGCCGTTCCGACTGCGGCGACGGTTGACCACGGCTGTAGGCGGCGACATGTGGGTGGGGGTGGTGGCTTGGGTGGGCTGCAATTTGTTTTGAATTCAAGAGTAATTTTGTTCAAAAAGTTAATTAATTGGGGTGAAATGGTAAAAGCCTTATTCATGTAAATAAATTTAAAAATAAGGGCATTGTTGTCCTAAAATTTTATTAATAAGGGATTGAATTGTAACAAAAAAAGAAGGGTAATCTTAGAATACTTAAGAAAATGGAGGTGATCAAGGCTCCATTTGGTTCATTATTGGGTAGTTTTTAGAATAATCTTTTGAAAAAAGTTAAATTGGGTGGGTATTACAATGTAAAATTTTGAAAATTAACATAAACACCCCTATGTTTATTTATTTACTAAACACCCCTATAATAAAATATTCAAAGTTAACAAAAACACCCCCAATCCACTCATAAATATGGACAGTCGGCCACCACCATCGGAGGGTGGCTGGAGTTGCCTTATCGGCGTATGACCGGCTCGATCTTGCTGGTCGTGCGCCCATATGGCCTTTTTCGGCCAGATCCAATGTGGATTTGGCCAGAAAAGGCCAGATCTGTGGCTAGATCTGGCTATTGACGGCCAGATCTGGCCGCATTTGGTCGTCAACGACGGGTAAAGATACGACCGTCGTTGACGACTGTCTACGGCCATATCCAACGTGGATCTGGCTGGAAAGGGCTAGATTGGCACACTACCGACCAAATTCAGTTGGTAGAACGTCATTACACCAGATTCCGGCAGTGGTGGCCGAAATCTGGTAAATTTGGGTTATTGGGGTGTTTTGTCAATTTTTTTAAAAAAATTTGGGGGTTGTTAAGTTAAGTTAACAAATTTAGGGGGATTAAAGGAAATTGAATAATTTAGAAAACTATTTTGAAATAGGTGAAATAAAGTTAACTTTTTCGAGAAAACTTTTGGGTATGTGAACCAAATGGAGCCTAGATTACTTTTAATATTACCAATAGTAACTATTATTGGTATTTGAAGATTATAAGAATCTTATATTACTTGACAACCAAATGTGGTAATCAATTAATATAAGATGACATAATCTCAGTAATCCCATATAACCCCGAACCAAAAGCCTCCTAAAAGTTGTGGAGGATAAAGGCTCCATTTGGTACATATATTGGGAAAACTATTCTAGTTTTCCCAATAAAGTTAACACAAAATTTGTGTTTGGTTCACCTATTTTCAAAATATAATTCTAAATTATTCAATTTCTTTTAAACCCCCTAAATTTATTAATTTAACCAAACAACCCATTTTTTTTTAAATTGACAAAAACACCCCAACAACCCAAATTTACTAGATTCCGGCCACCACTGCCGGAAGCTGGTTGGAATCTGGTGTAATGGCGCAGTATCGACTGAATCTGGCTGGTAGTGTGCCGATCTAGCCTTTTCCGACCAGATCCATGGTGGATCTGGTCGAAAAATGCTAGATCTACGGCTAAAGATCTGGCCGTAGACAGTCGTCAACAACGGCCAAGATATGGTCATCGTTGACCATCAACAACAGCTGTATCTTTGGCCGTCATTAACGACCAAATGCGGCCAGATCTGGCCGTCAATGGTCAGATCTAGTCGTAGATCTAGTCGAAAAATGCCATATCGGTACACGACCGGCAAGATCCAGCTGGTCATATGTCGATACGGCGACTCTGACTACCCTTTGACGGTGGTGACCGGCTGTCCGTATTTAATGAGTGGGTTATAGGTGTTTTTGTTAACTTTGAATATTTTATTATAGGGGTGTTTAGTAAATAAATATACATAGGAGATATTTTTATTAATTTTTAAAATTCTATATCGTAAACACTACCCAATATAACTTTTTTTCAAAAATATTATTCTAAACACTACCCAATAATGAACCAAACGGAGCCAAAGTCTTCCTAAAATAATTTGATTAACGTTTTATCTCAAGGCCAGTTACAGAAAGCCCATGCCCAACGATAATAAGGTAAGCAATTCAATTTTCGCGGGAAATCCTAGTCCACTGTCGTAATCATAATTGGTAGTCATCAGTCATCACCACTCTCTAGCCGTCCGATTCACCGACAACATGACCACGTTACCAGAAATAGTTGATCTTTTCTCCAGACTCACTTCACATCTGCAAACCCTAAACCAAAATGAAGAAGAAGAAGAAGAAGAAGAAGAATTATCTATTAATCTCTCAATTTCAAAGCTAAATAAATCCCTGAACATCAGCCAAAATTCTAGGGTTAGGGTTTTGGACGTGGCTCTCTCTCTCATGTGCTTCGGTGCACCCAAGGTCACTCCCTCTCAATGATTCTTCAATTAGGCTTTTCAAGAGTATGTTCTATTTTGTCTAATTGTGTGATTTCTTCATTGAATTCTTCTTAGGTTTTTGATTCGGTCATTGAGTTTTCAGTGAAGACGATTATCAGTGTTTTATCTTCTTCCATTACTTGTAAAGTGATTTCCTTTCGAAATGAAGAAATTTTGCAAATCGGTAGCTCGATTTCTCGCCACGATTGTGAGGAACTAATGGAAGCTTGTAACGACGTGCTTGAGAAACTGAAGGGGCGTGGTCTGTATTGCGTACTTTTTTTTTTTTTTTTTGGTAAATTTTATTGAATTATGTTTTTTTGGTATTTAGACCTTTCATATTTATATTCAAGGAACAAATTTTTTGCTATTAATTCTTTAAATAACGTTCTTTTTTTATATTATTACAAACATATTTGTCATTTTCAATGAGTATGTTAATATATTGCAGGGGTGCTTTCACATCTGCTTTTACGTGCTGTTGTAAGAGTAGCTGTTTCAGCATGTTTGTACTGGTTTTCGTTCCCTTTGATGGTTTTTCTTGATGTAAAATCTATTGATGGTAGAACCTCTGCTGTGTCAAAGTTGCTCTGTTATTTACCCAGAGAATTCTCCCTTGAAAACCATGAAATACCATTGAGGTCTGCTATGATTAAGTTTATTTTTACTAAAATATTGTTGTTTATGTTTGAATATAATTTTGGTTTTTAGAGTGCCCAACCTTGTTCTTAATGTTTCAATTCTATCACATGGTTGTTGAGTTCCTTTAAATTATCAAAATTTGTTTTCATTTCATGCAGGTTGCTCTTCTGGTATCTTGATCCACTCATGCTTAAGCATGATGTTTCAAAAATTTTACAAGATACAACTGAGAGGCCTTTCCTTTGTTTGAAGAAGGAGTTTCATGAGAGAGTGGATTGGCATGCTATAGTTATATGCTTGGCACTTTCTCCTGTTATATTTATCGAGACAAGAGCTCTGTTACATAACTGGTTTCTGCTAACGTGAGTTTCTGTTTCTGAATCTTGTGGATGCTCACCATGAGTCTTGTTAATTCTTTTTATATGTTCTTCTGTGCTGGAATTATTGAAGTTTGGGCTATACTTGAGTTTTGAGTACATGCCTAAAGTTTGTGCATGTTCATCTGCATAAAGCTCATAATAGTAGTTTCTTTAACTTTTTCTTTCCAAATTGGTTCTGTTGCTTATGATGCCTAATTCTAACAATCTGATGGACTTTCTAGCTTAATACCTTTAGGAGGAACTACATTTCATCTTGAAAAGTTTATCAGAGCACATACTGATAGCCTTCATTTGAATGTTAATCTTATAGCTTAGTATCTAACTCTACGACATGCCAATTACTTTTCCAAACTTATAACATTTCTTCCTGATTTTCTTTTAAATCGTTCTTGTAATTAATGAACTGAATTGGTTATGTATTTATTTTCTTTTTCTTCAAATGTTATCTACCTATGTGTTCTCTTTACCATTTCATTTGCCGTAAATAGTTTTGTGATAACTATACTGTCTTTGCATGTCCCTAACTTGAGCATTTATAATGGGTTTCCCCATTACTTGACAACCAAATGTGGTAATCAATTAATATAAGATGACATAATCTCAGTAATCCCATATAACCCCGAACCAAAAGCCTCCTAAAAGTTGTGGAGGATAAAGGCTCCATTTGGTACATATATTGGGAAAACTATTCTAGTTTTCCCAATAAAGTTAACACAAAATTTGTGTTTGGTTCACCTATTTTCAAAATATAATTCTAAATTATTCAATTTCTTTTAAACCCCCTAAATTTATTAATTTAACCAAACAACCCATTTTTTTTTAAATTGACAAAAACACCCCAACAACCCAAATTTACTAGATTCCGGCCACCACTGCCGGAAGCTGGTTGGAATCTGGTGTAATGGCGCAGTATCGACTGAATCTGGCTGGTAGTGTGCCGATCTAGCCTTTTCCGACCAGATCCATGGTGGATCTGGTCGAAAAATGCTAGATCTACGGCTAAAGATCTGGCCGTAGACAGTCGTCAACAACGGCCAAGATATGGTCATCGTTGACCATCAACAACAGCTGTATCTTTGGCCGTCATTAACGACCAAATGCGGCCAGATCTGGCCGTCAATGGTCAGATCTAGTCGTAGATCTAGTCGAAAAATGCCATATCGGTACACGACCGGCAAGATCCAGCTGGTCATATGTCGATACGGCGACTCTGACTACCCTTTGACGGTGGTGACCGGCTGTCCGTATTTAATGAGTGGGTTATAGGTGTTTTTGTTAACTTTGAATATTTTATTATAGGGGTGTTTAGTAAATAAATATACATAGGAGATATTTTTATTAATTTTTAAAATTCTATATCGTAAACACTACCCAATATAACTTTTTTTCAAAAATATTATTCTAAACACTACCCAATAATGAACCAAACGGAGCCAAAGTCTTCCTAAAATAATTTGATTAACGTTTTATCTCAAGGCCAGTTACAGAAAGCCCATGCCCAACGATAATAAGGTAAGCAATTCAATTTTCGCGGGAAATCCTAGTCCACTGTCGTAATCATAATTGGTAGTCATCAGTCATCACCACTCTCTAGCCGTCCGATTCACCGACAACATGACCACGTTACCAGAAATAGTTGATCTTTTCTCCAGACTCACTTCACATCTGCAAACCCTAAACCAAAATGAAGAAGAAGAAGAAGAAGAAGAAGAATTATCTATTAATCTCTCAATTTCAAAGCTAAATAAATCCCTGAACATCAGCCAAAATTCTAGGGTTAGGGTTTTGGACGTGGCTCTCTCTCTCATGTGCTTCGGTGCACCCAAGGTCACTCCCTCTCAATGATTCTTCAATTAGGCTTTTCAAGAGTATGTTCTATTTTGTCTAATTGTGTGATTTCTTCATTGAATTCTTCTTAGGTTTTTGATTCGGTCATTGAGTTTTCAGTGAAGACGATTATCAGTGTTTTATCTTCTTCCATTACTTGTAAAGTGATTTCCTTTCGAAATGAAGAAATTTTGCAAATCGGTAGCTCGATTTCTCGCCACGATTGTGAGGAACTAATGGAAGCTTGTAACGACGTGCTTGAGAAACTGAAGGGGCGTGGTCTGTATTGCGTACTTTTTTTTTTTTTTTTTGGTAAATTTTATTGAATTATGTTTTTTTGGTATTTAGACCTTTCATATTTATATTCAAGGAACAAATTTTTTGCTATTAATTCTTTAAATAACGTTCTTTTTTTATATTATTACAAACATATTTGTCATTTTCAATGAGTATGTTAATATATTGCAGGGGTGCTTTCACATCTGCTTTTACGTGCTGTTGTAAGAGTAGCTGTTTCAGCATGTTTGTACTGGTTTTCGTTCCCTTTGATGGTTTTTCTTGATGTAAAATCTATTGATGGTAGAACCTCTGCTGTGTCAAAGTTGCTCTGTTATTTACCCAGAGAATTCTCCCTTGAAAACCATGAAATACCATTGAGGTCTGCTATGATTAAGTTTATTTTTACTAAAATATTGTTGTTTATGTTTGAATATAATTTTGGTTTTTAGAGTGCCCAACCTTGTTCTTAATGTTTCAATTCTATCACATGGTTGTTGAGTTCCTTTAAATTATCAAAATTTGTTTTCATTTCATGCAGGTTGCTCTTCTGGTATCTTGATCCACTCATGCTTAAGCATGATGTTTCAAAAATTTTACAAGATACAACTGAGAGGCCTTTCCTTTGTTTGAAGAAGGAGTTTCATGAGAGAGTGGATTGGCATGCTATAGTTATATGCTTGGCACTTTCTCCTGTTATATTTATCGAGACAAGAGCTCTGTTACATAACTGGTTTCTGCTAACGTGAGTTTCTGTTTCTGAATCTTGTGGATGCTCACCATGAGTCTTGTTAATTCTTTTTATATGTTCTTCTGTGCTGGAATTATTGAAGTTTGGGCTATACTTGAGTTTTGAGTACATGCCTAAAGTTTGTGCATGTTCATCTGCATAAAGCTCATAATAGTAGTTTCTTTAACTTTTTCTTTCCAAATTGGTTCTGTTGCTTATGATGCCTAATTCTAACAATCTGATGGACTTTCTAGCTTAATACCTTTAGGAGGAACTACATTTCATCTTGAAAAGTTTATCAGAGCACATACTGATAGCCTTCATTTGAATGTTAATCTTATAGCTTAGTATCTAACTCTACGACATGCCAATTACTTTTCCAAACTTATAACATTTCTTCCTGATTTTCTTTTAAATCGTTCTTGTAATTAATGAACTGAATTGGTTATGTATTTATTTTCTTTTTCTTCAAATATTATCTACCTATGTGCTCTCTTTACCATTTCATTTGCCGTAAATAGTTTTGTGATAACTATACTGTCTTTGCATGTCCCTAACTTGAGCATTTATAATGGGTTTCCCCCCTCCCCACTTTTTTTCTTCTGTTTTGAATTCTTATTTGGATTTCATCCTTGTAATCAACAAGCATAACCCATAAATCATATTGATTTAGTTTTATAACAGGGGTCTATCTTCCATATTGGAGCTTCTTATTGGATTAACCTCTGTGATACTGGACATAATTTCCTGTCCATCATGGTGGGGCCTATCATTGGAATTTGGATCTAAGCTACCATTTTCTAGTGCGTATTTTCCTTACAAGAACCACTTACTGAGGACGTTGGCTGGGCCACTTACATCTGAAAGTTTTGTACGTCTAGTTCATGCTACGAGCAAACCAGTTCTTCATGTCACAAAAATTGATCCAACGATCAACCTATCTGCAACGAAGGTTGGGACTATAGATCATAAATCTATCTGGTAAATTCTTACTCTGAATTTTCATGCAAATAATTGAGGCTGCTGTTCTATTTTGATCCAATTAATCTAGAATTGTTTATAACTGTTGCACAGCAGGGCTCTGGCAATCAGCTTTCCTGATTGGTTCTATTTTGCTTCCATATTACTCTTCTCTGAGAGATTTCAAGGAAATTTTCATTTAAAAGGCTCATTGGGGAAACCTAAAATTGGACAAATGCAAGATGTGGAAGCAGTATCTGTTGCTGCTGCAAGGTACATTGCATGGATTCTGAACCCCATCGATAAATCTAAGCAGGAGTTGGTGGTTGAAATTTTGACTAAAATATCAGGGGCTTGGACCCTAAACCAATTTAGCTCAGGTGAAAATCACAAAGAAGAAGCTGGATACAGGAAGAAAATTAAGAAACCCAAACTCAATGACAGCAAGGAAGATTATACTGTTGAAAAAGAATATGATTGTCAAAGTATTGGACTCTGGCTCAAAGAATTCCAAAGCTTATATGTGCAATACAGTATGGTGAGTGTCAACAATCCTTCCTCTCATGAAGTGAAAGGATCCAATGGTCTTAACCTGAAGCAAAATGCGCTGTTCAGGAGGATCCCCCTCGGGATCTTGGTTGGCTTCCCCAGTTGTATAAACGAAGATGGATGTGAGTTGCTGCTGCATTATGCTGCAACTGGTAGAATCATTCATTTAGGGGAAACAAGTGGTGTTGGACTGAAACATGGAAAAGGGAAAGCTCATGAGCTGGAAGACTCAGTTTTGTTTCCTGCCAAATTCAACAAAAGGGAGGCTATGGCAGGTGCCTGTCTTGTCTTCAGTTTAACTGATATCATTGAGAGTATGTCTACTTCATTATATGAGACTGACGAGAGAGGAGTAGATTTTATTTGCCAGGTGAAAATAAAGGCTGCCAAGTACTTGATCAATTGCATTAAAAGGCAAATCCAGCTCCATATTGATGAAGATGGAGTTCAGACGCTCATAGATCTATCTAGTAGACTCATGCGGTGGAGGCATCAAGGGCAAGTAGTAGTTCAGGTTGACAAAGATCTTGATGAGGTCATTAATGCTTTAAGTAACAAATATCGTCAATTTGAGATTCCTTAGCTTCCAGTTTATGTATATTACCCTAGACAAAGAGGAAATGATTGTGTAAAAAATTGATTCTTTTTTTTTTTTTTTTTGGTTATTTATTTTTACCTATTCTTTTGTGAAATATATTGAAGGAAAGGGCTATCTAAAGATGATCAGATTTCAAGTTATTGTATAAATTTTGTAAAGATATGCAACACAATTTTGCTTCTTGCATCTGCCAACTTGTTGAAATTACAACTTTTGTATACTTTGTTAATACATTGCGTGTCTGTTGTATTGTGATTGTCTGCTTCAGCCAATTTTGTAGTATGGTTGTAAACTTCAGCCTTCTGGCGGTGTCAAACTCATCAAATCTGTCAATTATTTCAAGCAGTTTTGCCACCCTTTCCTATCGTTCTTTTGACCAAACTGATCCCGTTGGCGTCACCACCCCATTCCTCGAACACAACTAATAGGTTTCCAATCGGCTTCAACCATGAGCGTGGAACGTGATACCTGAAAGCAACATCTTTACAGTGAATATTCATCCTGGACAAACATATGATAACTTAAAAAAAAAAAAAAGAAAAAAGAAAAAGCAACACTATTCTCACCATATTTGACATGGATTTCCACAGTTGAAATGACATTTCAAATTACTATAAGGTCCAGCATAATTACAACCCCTGCAATCACCCACTGCTAAATTTGCAGGCCAGTGGTGCCCAATACTCTGACCGTTTATCCACATCATCCCTTTTCCCATGGTTCTCATATCCAAAGCTAATGGATCATTCCCTGCTGGTGCATCGAAAGTAGTCTGCAGACAACAAACTTTGGCTATTAATATATCTGGTATATCATTTTCTCCAGAATATTAGTGGGAGAGTTGAGACTATATATTCTCACCTTGTACCATGTCAATGGTTGTTTTTGGGGCACTGATTGTCCTTCTACCCATTGACCAGAGGCACTCCCCTTCTCAGTAAAAATGCTTAAATCTTCACCTTTCACACCAACCTGCTCGGGATCATGCACGTAAATGAGTTCTAAGTCGGGAAAAACTTGAATGGATGAAAATTCTATTGTTTATTCCAAACTTTCTACCTACATCTGCATAACCTCATTCTTTTTAAAGAGAAACTTAAATGAGTTGATTACTGATGTTCAGAATGTGTTCAGTAATTCAGAGAACTTTCACACTAGTATTTGGTTTCCAAACATTCAACTTCATTCTAAAAATTTCACAGGTATCAACATTCACAAACAAGTGTGTACTACTAATTGTAATAATGATCTTCATCTATTGTATCAACAATCAAATACTATCGAAGGAAGAAGAATGATTTACATAACATGCAGAAAAGTATCAAAGCGCTAAGTTTTCACTATGGAGCAAGATAAGATATTCCCTATGAACATTTATAAAGAAGAGAACAAACCTTGTAAGACCATTTCTGCATAGACAAGTCTCTTGGACCCATATTGAGACCTGTCAGAGTTACCGGGCCCAGAACACCAAGATTCCATTTCTCAAAGGATGCACCAATATTCTGATATTCATAAATTTTGATAATGTCATATATCTGCGTCATCAACAGTATTCAAAGAATAGAGACACATCAGAAAAGGGAGAAAACTGACCGGAAGACCCACAGCTGAACTTAATAAAGAAATCTTGTTAATACCAGCTTTCAGTTTGACAGGTTGATTGAATGTAAATTTAGGAAAGGTTATTCCACCATGAGCAACTCCTGAAAGAAGAATAGAAAATAAAAATTGAGGTTCATTCCACATTAACTTATGATTATCTCTTACTCCTTTTACCTGCTTGTTGACCATTAACGAAAACTTGCACCGCATGACCTGCGGACATAATGGTGAGAAGAGGATCTTGTTCATTCTTCAAAAATCCTTCATTAGGGTCAATATTCACACTGATTTGAAAATAAAACACATGAAATTATGGAAAAAGAATCAGTTTTAGAAAGATTATAACAACTAATTTAAATTCTTAGACGCTAAATATCTTCAGGAAAGCAAGAGGTGAATAGTCAAGATAGACTTACTTTGTCATATACCACAAGTAATCTGTAGCATCTCTGGTCAAATTTAGTTGTTCCCACAATCCATTGTTTGTTAGTGCTTCATCTTCCATAACAGGGATACTTTCGTCGGTGAATGACTCCCAAGAAAATTTGGTGACGGGTGTCATCTGCGCCGGGGATCTTTGGACAGCAACCTGCTCAGAATTACCAATCATCTGTCAGCGTTCAGCCTCAAAATTTTCTTAAAGATTATATTGTTTATTGAATTTCTAGTATGAGCTATTGCAAGTACCTTAGCGGTGTTGAAAGCTACGGTTCTGCAGTCAGGGAGGATGCTGATGGACCAAGGTGGCAGGTCATACTCCTCATTTTCGAAGTTGACTTTGATATTCAAATTATAGTCATAGTTTGCAAGGAAAGCCGCACAAGCCCCAGTTTTTGACCTAAATACGCGAGCCTATGGATAGTTGTAATGATTACAAGATGAAATATTCAGACGCTTCTGTCTGGTTTTCTTTTACTAATTAAGCTCAAAGCCTTACCTCTTGGCCTTGTCCAAGCAGAGTAAGGATGGGCTCTGAAGACAATATAGCTGCTTCGGATGCTTTGATGGCTCTATGTAAATCCTTCAAATGTGTCCACTTTGGTTCCCTGATTAGTCCTGGTATAAAACAGAAAACTCATATCAATATTGAAAGTGATGAAGAAGATGATGCAGCCACACAGGTTAACAACTAGGATGTTAAACATGTGTGTGTTTACCATATTCATCAATTGGACCATCATAATCATAAGTAGTAGCAACGAAGGCACCAGACGTCCGCCCAAAATTAGTTCCTCCATGGTACTGAATCAGAAAAAGAAACAACAAATTCAGTCATCACAAAACAGGTGAATAAAATTTAGTCGAAAAGATGAATGCTATAGTCAATTTACCATGTAGTAGTTAACTAAGGAACCGCCCATCTGAATGAACCTGGCAACTGAAAATGCCATGTCTTCTACTGGTCTTTCAAGAGTTGCACTACCAAACCCGGTTAACCTTGAAGTTAAACAGACAAAAGGGAAAACGGATAATCATTCTCCGGAAATGTTATAGGAGTTGCAACAAATGATAAAAAGACAGAATTGAGGTCTGCAGGGAACATTTACAGGAATTACCAGCCAGTCCAGTTTTCAGTCCAAAGTTTGGGTTTATATGGCTTGTTTGCAAGAAAGTTTTCACAGTAGAAACCATTGCAGGCGTTTATCTGTGAGGTGGAAGATTATTGAGTGAGAGAAGAATAGCATAATAACATGTAAATTTTTATGGTATGGGAAATGAAAATGTAAAACAAAAAGGTGGGAAAAAACTGCATACAATTGGATCAGGAGCATCTTCTTGTTTGCACATAAGCCATGGGACACCAGTGTCAAGACCTAAAGCCATTTGAGCTGCCCAGTTAATATAAGCTTTAGCACCAGGAGTGATTGCGTATTCTACTATTTCAAACTCATTCTCAATCTGCAAAGAAGATGTAATTCTTCCTGATATTCTTGTATTCAACAGAATTTTGATTAAACCAACATAAAAAGAAATTAAGAACTCAAATGAGAAAGTTTGGTTTCCAACCTGTGACATAATGATTGGACCTCCCTGAGTTTGAAATAACTTTTCTGCCTTCATCATGTTCACTATCATCTCCACGAACTTTTGCACTGCCGACTTCCATCATTACAAACAATTTTATTAATAAACTCAAGTAAAACAAACGACTCAACAAAAAGAGACTATCAGAATCCCAAGTGTTCAACCTTGAAAGGCTCATTGTCTATTCTAAATTCAATGCCAGGCACGAATTTCAGCCAAGAAGGAAATCCCCTGAACCAAAAACCACAACATTATTATACAAACAAACTACTTGAAACTTCAGACCAAAAGACAGAAAGCAAATAATATGTTATTACCCTAAGTTCCATTCCCCGCAAATATAGGGGCCAATCCTCAGATCAAGATACATCCCAGCTTCTTGAACCAACTTGATGAACCGAACAAGATCATATCTATCCTCAAAATAATACTGAATACAAAATTTAAATATGAAAAAACTGAAGAAAAAAATAATTATTGAGCCCAGAAAATTATTTAAAAAGAAAAGGGTTGCAAAAGCATTACTTTTCCAGGAGAAGGCTCATGTCCACTCCAAAAGACATAACTTTGTATAATATCTAGACCTCCATCTTTAGCCTTCTTCAAAAGATCAGGCCACATCTGCAACCAAACAATAAATAAAAAGATTAAAACCAGAAAACTCCATGAAAAATTCAGGAGGCACATTGTGAATACTGTATGTAGTACCTCAGGAGTACTTCTTGGATAATGAATAGAGCCAGACATAAGAATTCTTTTCTTTCCGTCAATTATAAGACCTCTATTGTCATAAGTAACCGCGGCTTTCACAGAACAAAGCCATGAAAATATCAACATTAACAGTAACACGAAAACGTTGTTTCTCATCATGGTGGACCTAATCACTCTGACCCCTGTATATCCCTGGTGTATTCTCCTAGAAATGATCTTCTTCATCTGCGTATCTCAACTTTCAAGATTCATATATAAAATATATAGTCTCTAGAGACACAGAAATATAAGGAACGACAACGAAAAAACTTTTCTATTTTTGATTGTTTTGAGGCAGAGTTAAATTTAGTTTTGTTTAGCTTATGATTACGATGCATGAGAAAAAACTGGGAAGCGTACACTGAAACCGTTAATAGATGAAACATTTTCAAGTAGTAAATTTTACGGGGCTGATCCTCTCTCACCGGGAACTATTATTTCTCTACCATTAATAATCCTCTTTACGTTCCTATTGCTTTGGAAAAGCATTGAAAGCAAATGTCGAGCGTTTTAGTTTTGGCCCCTCGTTCTGCCATTAACACTTTATTTTTTTCTTCATGAAGGCAAAGCCTTTTAGCCCATGTCATGCTCATTAAATTACACCCTTATCCAGTATTTTAGTGTTCATACTTAAAATATTATTATTAGGTAAAAGGAATTTTTTTTTTTTTTTAAATATGTGATTATAATAGATATTTTAGTAGAATTGAATCTTTATAAATATAAATTCCAACCACCCTAATTTGATGTGTGTTCAATGTTCAAATCATTATTTTCTCACTAGTGTTGCTTATTTGATTTTGATGCCTATTAGACAACTATTAATCGGCAATTCTATTATACTACCATGCTCAGATTGGTTCCACGTTGAATTTGATGCCTGCTTCCAACAACTGAGAGCCATCATAATTTTAATATTATCGCTTAATATCTTAACTCTATCACAGGTGCCATTAATTTTCCCAATTTGTATAACAATTCTTCATAATTTTCTGTTTAACCCATTGTTGAATCTTGTAATTTTTTAACGTCGGTTTTTTGCTGGGCCTCGATTAGCAGCGATTGGGCCACCACGGGTAACTCTGAACCGTGGGTTTGAGGCTGAATCAAAGAGTGTTTGAACGCTAAATAAAATGTGGGCTTCGGTACCTGTAACAGGGTAAGTCAATGGTTTTTATCTTAAAAGTCTTTCTAGCTCGATGTATAATAAAACTATATATATAAAAAGCTGAATACCCATGTAGGCTGCTCGTCATGTAACACATTTTGAAAGCTTTAGAATTACTCTATTTTGACATATTGAATTAACAAGCCAATCAAATTACTCTATCTTGACACGTTGGATTGGTATTTATTGCTTCATTTATAATTATTAGTTAATTAAAAAAATGGTATTAGTAATAATAATAATAATAATAATAATAATAATAATAATAATAATAATAATAATAATAATAATATAGGTGCATTACATTGACATTTCAAAGATGTGTATTAATAACAAATATACAGGTGTATTGGATTGCTATTACTAATTGTGGTTTAATGACATTTGTCTAGGATTGCTATCTATAATTATATAGGTGCATTATATTGACATTGGAAAATTTTCTTCATATTGAAATCTTATTTAATTGCGTTGGTATTCGGAATGTCTAAATTAGGGGTTATAAAAGGGGCGCATGTTCAGTTGTGTATCATCGTAATTTGTTAGTTGGCATCAACAATACGTCTAGTCTTTTGTTAATTGTTTATAAGTTATTTTAGTTTGTGAAAATAATATGTCTATTCTTCATGTGCATTTTGATCGATGGATTTTTATTTACGTATGTTTTTGTTATTGTTTATAGGTCAAAGATTCATGAATTGACATGGAATAAATGCATGAGGTATATATAGATATATATGTATATATATAGGTTGTTTGCCATGTGGCATATTTTGGAAGCTCTAGAATTACTCCATTTTGACACATTGGATTGACAAGCCAATCAAATTGCTCTATTTTGACACATTGGATTGGTATTTATTGCTCCATCTATAATTATCAATTAATTAAAAAATGGGATTTGTATTAATAATAATAATAATAATAATAATAATAATAATAATATAGGTGCTTTGCATTGGCATTCCAAATATGTGTATTAATAACAAGTATACAGGTGTATTAGATTGCTATTACTAATTGTGGTTTAATGATATTTGTCTAGGATTGCTATCTATAATTATATAGGTGCATTGTATTGATATTGGAAAACTTTATTCGTATTGAATTTGTATTTAATTGCGTTGGTATTCGGAAGGTCTAAATAAGGGGTTATAAAACGGGCACATGTTTAGTTGTGTATCATCGCAATTTGTTAGTACAATTTTTTAAAGATGTCGAACTATAATATTAATAAAAAATGAAGTGGCTTAATTTCTCTTTGAGTTTATGTCAGCAAAGCTGCCAATCTATAATATCAATAAAAAAATTGAAGCGGCTTAATGTTTCTCTCAATTGAAAATTTCAGTATCAGTCTATAAACGATAAAGGTTATGATTTGCATTGTGATAAACTATTTCCCGTGCTGTAATTTATTAAGTATATCAAAGATGTGGTTTCTGAATCATGGTATTTTATGTAAATAAATTGTAATAAACAAAGTTTCAAACTAATCACGCAGCCCGATGGGTTAATACACTTACTTTTTCATTGATATGTTCGGTATTTTGATGATGTTTGGTGTTCTCATATTTAATGTTGTTCTTAATGGATTTAGTCTCTGGATATCGTGTTTTGTAGCTTCACAATTGCTCATTTTTGATGCATTGGATTTGTAATATTAATAATTTTATATGTGCATTGTGTTAACGCTGCAAATATTTATAGATATATATTTATCCAAAATTGATTAGTGCATTGTACTGTTATGTGATACTTTCAATGTGATATTACTATTAATGGTCAAGATATCAGAATTTTGGTTTAATTATGGGTTAATGTACTTCCTTTTTTATTGATGTGTTCGCTATTATGATGATGTTTGGTATTCTGATATTTAATGTCATTATTAATGTAGTGATTTTATTAAAGTGTTGATGAAATAAATGGTACTGTTTATGTCACATAATAATATAAGTTTGTATCAAATGCAACTTAAATAAGAATTACAGCTGTCCACATAAAAGAATAAAAAAATCCCAATTGTTATCTAATTTTGTTATTATTGTTATGTTGTTTATTAAGTGTTATTGAAGTTGATGCAATTTTGTGGATAGATATTTATATGAAAGAGATCGATACATTGTATTTGCTATGTATTATTGTTAATGCGAAATTAATGTGAAGTGTGAGGAGTATTTATCTGAATGTGACCAATATAGGGACAGATGGAATTGTATCAAGGTATCCAAATTCCGATCAAATTCATGGTTTACCAGTGTTCCTAGAAAAGTTATAACAAATTATAAACACAACCAATCATATCCTGATAATGGTTCGGCAATGGAATGTAGACCTCAGTGATACCTTATGGATAAATTGTGGATCGTATATTGATTACAACCAACAAATCACCTTATATTGACTACAACCAATTCCATGTGATATATCAACCGTTTGATGATGTAAAGATTTGGATAGCTTGAATAATCATAGTTATGGACAATGGTTAGGCAACGGATTCCATACTATTTGTTAGGCAATTTTTTAAAGATGCCAAACTACAATATCAATAAAAAATTAAGTGGTTTAACGTCTCTTTAAGTTGGTATCAGGCAAGTTGCCTAATACTTGGTCTGACTATAAAAAATCACCTGGGACTGACTAATATAGGAACACCTGGAATTGTTTATCTTTATGATTTATCAAGCTATCCAAATTTCGGCCATCCTTAAATCATGGATAAGTATTCAAATTCATAGTTTAGAAGTGTTCCTAGAAAAGTTGTAAAAAATTATAAATGCAATTAATTACATCCTGGTTATGGTTTGGCAATGGAATGTAGACCTTGATGATACCTTGATCTGTTGAAATTCCAAGCATTCTTAAATCATGATATCACAGTCAGTATTTTCCCTATCACCATTTTAGAGCCATATTGATGGTTTGATAGTGAAGTTATCGACCACAGCAGGCTTTGAACAGTCATAGTTATGGACAATGGTTAGGCAACAAATTCCATACAATTTGTTAGACAATTTTTTAAAGATGTTGAACTATAATATTAATAAAAAATAAAGTAGCTTAATTTCTCTTTGAGTTTATATCAGCAAAGCTGCCGAACTATAATATTAATAAAAAAATTGAAGCGGCTTAATGTCTCTCTCAATTGAAAATTTCAGTATCAATCTATAAACGATAAAATTTATGATTTGCATTGTAATTAACCATTTGATGTGCTGTAATTTATTCAATAAATCAAATGTGTGGTTTTTGAACCATGGTATTTTATGCGGATAAATTGTAATAAAAAAATTGTGAAACTAATCATGCAGCCCGATGGGTTAATGCACTTACTTTTTCATTGACAAGTTTGGTATTTTGATGATGTTTGGCATTCTCGTATTTATTATTGTTCCTAATGGTGTTAGTCTCTTGATATCATGTTTTGTAGCTTTACAATTGCTTCGTTTTGATGCGTTGGATTTGTACTATTGATAATTTTTTAGGTGCATTGTGTTGACGTTGTAAATATTTATAGATATATATATTTATCCAAAATCGATGGGTGAATTGTACTGTTATGTGATACTTTCAATGTGATATTACTATTAATGGTCAGGATATCAAAATTTTGGTTTAATTATGGGTTAATGTACTTCCTTTTTTATTGATGTGTTCGGTATTATGATGATGTTTGGTATTATAATATTTAATGTCGTTCTTAATGTAGTGTTTTTCTTAAAGTGTTGATGAAATAAATGGTACTGTTTATGTCACATAATAGTATAAGTTTGTATCAAATGCAACTTAAATAAGAATTACAGCTGTCCACATAAAAAAATTAGAAAAATAAAAAAATCCTAGTCACTATTTAATTTTGTTATTATTGTTATGCTGTTTATTAAGTGTTATTGAAGTTGATGCAGTTTTGTGGATATATATTTATCTGAAAGATATCGATACATTGTATTTGCTATGT